CTTCTATCAAACAATTGCTAAGTTAAAAATAATAACATGTGTAATATTTCATCATATTTCATCAGGGGTCGTTTCTGATTAGTGAATCTTTTTACAGGTTTTTACAGACCACTCATATATAGTACTTGGGAAAGCAAATCAAGACTTGCTCTCGCATGTAATTCCCTTTATAGTTTTCTTGAACAATTACAATTTATATTGTTAACATTATTGTAAGTTGTAATAGTTTTGTAAAAAAGAAATTTGCAACTGGTTTTGTCTTACATTTGTAGATGTATCAAAAGCCTATATATTTGCAGACCTTTTTTTCGATGGTGCTTTTTCTTTTGACTTTGTCAATATAATCTTATAAGTAATATATAGTCATTTATAAAATTTAAATACTGTATTATTTTAAATATTTTAAATATAATTCTAAAGCTAAGACCTAATAGTATGGTCTCTAACACACAACAGCAAAACATCACCATTTTCTGGTCTTAATGAAATTCCGAGAAACAGCTATTTACTTTATATATATAAATTTTTTTGTCAAAATAGAATAATTTTGGAATTATTTCATGCTTTTTCACTTCCAGTTTGTTATCTGTATTGCACAAAACGATCTGATGACTAGATTAATGGGCTAATGGACTCTCTCCTATCTAAAGATGGTAAAGTTTGGACCAGATCTGACCTTGGTTCTAAGGCCTTTACTATCATGTGGTCTACGGACCAGATCCTCATATGACCCAATTTCCAATTGATATCAACTTTTCGCTAAATTCTTTTGAAAATCACCGTTTAAAATACGATAATCAAACCTTCAGAAATGTGAAGATGAGTATCATTTTTAAACTTTTTTATTTATAATACTGAAAGCTTAGGTATCGACATAGATATCGGTGTCAATACTTGTATGGAATAAATGATAACGGGTCTATTTCAAAAAAAGAAAATGTCAAATTGTAGATTATTTGCTATTGGTCAAATAGAAAATCCCTATACCATATGATTTAACCATGATACGCTTATCTGATTTTTTTTCTACTTTGTCACCTGTTTCATTAAAATGACATATCAGCCAATGAGAATTGTCTTCTTGTTCATACCTTAACTTTATTGAGGATAACATATGTAATTGCATATGATGATATTCCAAGTATAACCCAATTTGGTTCATAATAAATTCTGGATAATTTCCTTACCCGTTTTGAAGTCTTTTCATTATTTAATTAAATATGTATGAATTCATAAAAATATTTAATATAAATAAATGCAAGTGATCTATATTTGTCTATGTTTTTTTTTTTTTTACAAATTCCTCTTATAATTATTATAATTTAAATTCACTGTCAAGAAGAATCAAAAAAAAAAGAAAAATGTTTAGAACAATCAGTAAATTTCGTCGTGCTACATTTGTAAGCCTAGGAACGGTTACTACTGTTGGTCTATCCTATTACATTTATACGGATCACTCCAAAAAACTTCGCTATAATTCTCAATTTATGATGCCTCAAACATATGCTGATGCAAAAATTTCGCCCATAACTCGAAATAATCCTCCGTTACAAGTTTTACCATCACGTGCTGAAATGATAAATATTCTTAAACGTTCGGATAAAAGCAAAGATGAAGAATTTGATCTATTAATAATTGGAGGTGGTGCAACAGGAACGGGTGCAGCTTTAGATGCTGTAACAAGAGGATTAAAAGTCGCGTTGGTTGAGCGTGACGATTTCGCTTCAGGGACTTCTTCTCGGTCCACAAAACTTATTCATGGTGGTGTAAGATATCTTGAGAAAGCCATTTATCAATTAGATTATGGACAATATAAATTGGTTCGTGAAGCGTTACATGAACGAGCTACGTTTTTAAATATTGCTCCATATTTAAGTCATCAGTTGCCTATAATGTTACCTCTTTATAGGTAAAATAAATTATTCCAATTTTTTTTAGTTATTTTTGTGATTAAAAGAATATATACATTACAGATTTGTTTTTAATGTTATTTGATGTAATTTTATTATTTGTTTCGTTTTAGGTGGTGGGAAGTCCCATATTATTGGGTTGGTCTGAATGTATACAATTTCCTTGCCGGAAAAGAAGCTATGGGAAATTCTTATTATGTTAGTCGTGAAAATGTACTTAAAGAATTCCCCTGGTTAAAAAAAGATAACCTTGTCGGTGCTATTGTTTATTACGATGGTATATTATTGTTTATTTAAGTCTTTATAAATAATTATAATCATCATTTTATTTTACCTTTATTTTAATTTTTTTTCAATTTTAGGTCAGCATAATGACGCACGAATGAATGTTGCACTTGCTTTGACAGCAATTTCTCATGGTGCAACCGTAGCTAATCATGTAGAAGTAACTCATTTATTGAAAAACGAAAATGGAAAAATAATTGGTGCTAGAGTTCGCGATAATTTAAATGGTAATGAATGGGACATTAAATCAAAGGGTGTAATAAATGCTACTGGTGTATTTGCAGGTAAACATTCACGAAATTTTTAATCAAACAAATTTTTTTTTTCAACAAAATCATACTAATTAACTAATTATTTTACTTTAACAGATAATATTATTTCTTTGGACAAAAAAAAAGAAAATATGATTATACCAGCTTCTGGTGTTCATATCATACTACCAAATTATTACAGTCTAGGTGGAAAAATGGGAATGTTAGATAAAGCAACTTCAGATGGTAGAGTTTTGTTTGTGCTTCCTTGGGAAGGGAATACTCTTGTTGGTACTACTGATTCTCCTTCGGAAGTAACATTTAATCCTATACCTAAAGAAGAAGAAATTATGTGGGTTTTGAATGAGTTTAATAAATTTTTGACTCCTGGTTGGTTTTTTTTTTGTTTTGGTAATAAACTTTTCTGACTTAACATTGATTTTTCATGTACTTATTTATTTTTTGGTTTTGCAATTATTAGAAACAAAAGTTAGACGAAATGATGTTCTAGCTGCTTGGGCTGGAATCCGCCCACTTGTCATGGATCCTGAAGCAAAAAATACTTCAGCTTTGGTGCGAAGTCATATGATCCATGTTAATGATTCAGATTTGATTACTATTACTGGTGGAAAATGGACTACTTATCGAAATATGGCTAAAGAAACTATTGATAAGGCTGTTGAAGTTTTTGGTAAGTTTTAATTTGCTTTCTGGTTTGTCTTTTTTAAATAATAATTTTATTTATTTATTTATTTATTATTTGCTATTATAAAAAGATTTGAAGCCGTTAAATGAATGTCAAACTGAAAATAAGAAACTTATAGGATCTCATGGATATTCCGAGACTATGTTTATTGAATTGATTCAACAATTTGGACTGAATACTGAAGTATGCCTATAATTTGACTTTGATATCAAATACTTTCAAAAATCAATATCAAATACATTCATATATCAATATCAAATACGTTCAAATATCAATACTAAATATCTTTTAAATTAATTTTTTAGATAGCACAACATTTAGCTCATGATTATGGTGATAGAGCATGGGACATTGTAAAATTGATACACCAAGCAGGTAGTAAACAATGGCCTGTTCCCATACAAAGGATAAATTCGCATTACCCATATATCGATGCTGAAATTCGATATGCCATACGACAAGAGTTTGCATGTACTTTAGTAGTAAGTATTAAAAATGATTAAGCAAACTTTAATTAAGTTCAAAGTTTTTACTATTTTTAAAATTTTCTAAATAGGATGTGATAGCAAGACGAACTCGTCTCGCATTCTTAAATCCACAAGCAACATTGGAATCTTTACCACATATAATTGAAATTATGAGTGAAGAATTAAATTGGACTTCTGAGAAGAAGAAAAAAGAATATGAAGAAGCAGTAGAATTTTTGAAAACAATGGGTTTACCAAAATCAGAAGATAAATTGTATCTTGCAAATGCTAGCAAATCACAGGTTAAAAAATGAATTATAATTATTTTTGAATGACAATTGAAAAATATTACTCATGTAAAAATATAGAATCACGATTCCATTATAAGTATTCATCATCTTTTTTGCATTGCATGTTATTTTTATTATAGAAGTATCGTAAATACATATATAATGTAATTCTATTAATTTTATTAATTAAAATTTTAATTGTAATAAGTATTATAAATTAATAGAGCATATCTTTAAATTTATCGAAAATTAAATCAATTTTTTTTGTCTTTAAAAAAATAAGTAATAGTCGGGTTACAATCTACAGCAGAGACAATGCCCGATCCAAGTAAATCCCTCTCGCCTGTAATCAATCACAAATTAAATTATTTATGTTGGATTCAGTTGTGATGGATATAATCCCTCACCAGTTTTAATATATGTGTAACATTAACGGTCTCTACTGTTGTTACAATCTCGTGAAATGTTTCAATTTTCTCGTAATCAATAAAATTAATGCAACAAATAGTTATGGCAGATTCTCTATTTTGGCAATTGAGGTCCGACAAATTGTTACACGAAATAGTGTCATGTCTATCTGAAACTCATACAGGGGGATTCCCAAAATTCCGGATCAGAATACTTCGGAAACATGATCGGCAGGGCCGGAATTAACTAATTTTGCCCAGAATGCGGTTTAGTAATTTGTAAAGAGGCGAACGATATAGATAACGATGGATTTTAACGATAGTTTATTAGTTTGCGTGGGTTATAGTTTACTTTTATTATGGATCAGGAACGTATTTTTATATATTGCAAAAATGTATTTACTTGGAGGTGTCTTCCGTTACTTTCCCCCTGGGCGGAAAGCCCTTTATTTATAATAAAACTTTTATTTACATTCGAGGATAATTATCTATCTACAATATATCATCCTTAAAACCCCTTTCCCACTATAATAACTAAAAACCGAATGTCCCATATACCGTCGATCTATCCGAAGTAACAAATGTAATAAAAGTAAGAAAAGTAAGATAAATCTTACTTTTCATGTGACTAACTACTCGGGTAGGCGACGGGACCTAAATTCGACGATCAATCACGGTCACGTGTAACCGTGATAAAGGTGGGGGCTCAGTTAGACAACTCATACAGGGGGATCCCCAAATTCCGGGTCGGAATACTTCGGATTTAGCCCGGCATTTAGTTAGCATTTAGTAATACAAGTTAACCACTTCTGGGCCAAAATTATCAACTGGGCAGCTTTACTTAATGAGTGAGCTATGGTTTCATTAGTAAAACTTTTAGTGATCTTGGGCAAAATAACTCATACAGGAGGATCCCCAAAATTCCGGGTCGGAATACCTCGGATTTAGCCCGGCATTTGGTTAGCATTTAGTAATACAAGTTAACCACTTTGGGCCAAAATTATCAGCTGGGCAGCTTTACTTAATGAGTGAGCTATGGTTTCATTAGTAAAACTTTTAGTGATCTTGGGCAAAATTAGTTAATTCCGGCCCTGCCAATCATGATTCCGATGTATTCCGACCCGGAATTTTGGGGATCCCCCTGTATGAGTTGAGCAGTGGGATGAGTGGGATGGTAACGCCGGAAGCTCGTTTAGGCAGGTGATCGGTGTGGCACAGTAATGGACCATCGGCTATGTCGATCACCTACCTTAAATGGGTTTCCCGGCAGTATACACTGTATTCGTTGTATACTTAATGTCGGGTGGATAATTGATATCAGTGGGATAAGGGAAATCAGTAGGATCAAGGGTATATTTAAAATAATCTGCATAAACGTTATAATCAGTATAATAAGCATAGACATTATAATTAATATATATGAGATAACGAACATAAGTAGCATAAGCGGTATATCACGAATAAAGTGTATAACGTGTCCTATGTAAATGAAAGTATATAATAAAGGCTTCGAGCTCTCCAAGAACAGTACAGTTAGTGCTCATCATAAATCCGCTCCCAATAATTTCACTGTTTAATCATATTTTAAAACCTACGATCATAAACACACCACTCTCCAAATCTAACCGCCTCTTATCGACTAAGCTGTGCGTAGGTTACACGACGTATCCATTTGTCAAGCGACTGACTCGCCGTTTCGCTCGTGTCATTAATATGGGCTTCCCGGGATTATCGGTCCTAAAACTCATTTACAACTAATAGAGGGAATAAGGGCAATAAGGGAAATAGATGCAAACGATGATTAACGGGTTATATAAGAAATACAGGTTTTAAGTAATAAAGGACGTTGCAGGGGTATATGAGAGATAATAAGGATAATATGTTTAATAGGTTTAATAAGTTTAACACCTTAAAGAACGTATATGTAATAGAACAATATATAATAAGACTTCGAGCCTACAAGAACAGTTCAGTTCGTGCTTATCATAAAGCGCTCCTAATAATTCCCTGTTCCTACGATCATAAACACACCACTCGCCAAATCTAACCGCCTCTTATCGACTAAGCCGTTTGTAGGTTACACGACGCATCCGATTGTGAAGCGACTGACTCGCCGTTTCGTTTGTGTCATTAGGGATGGGCTAATCGAGAATTTTTTAATCCACTGCGCAGCCTGCAGCATTATGCAAGCCAACCAGAATTCATCATGATTTACTAAAATATTAGTTAATTGATTTAGTAAATGAGTTTTGTTCTTCGATACTTTAAAGTGAAAAGCGATTGTTATAAGCATAAAATCCAATAGATGTTGATTGCCGTAACAAATTTTCATTAACAATAAACAAAAAAGAATGAAAATCGAAATAATATTATAAAAATTAATCAAGCAAATGCAATTGAGCCAGAAAATCTTGTAGGTTTTATTTTTAATGCTCTTCCGGAAGATTATAACTCTGATTATTTATTTTAATCCAGGATGCAGAAACAAAAATTATTGAAGAAAACAAATAGTAACAAATGACTCGATAATATTAATAAAAACTTTGTGCTTATTGCATAAATTGGAGTCAGTCTAAATTTTTTTGTTTGTATTTTTTTTTTAAATTACATGAATTTTTAGTGCTCGATATATTTGTCACGTGATGTTTGAAACTTTCTTGGATGGCGGTCACCTATTTCTCTTTGGATTGAAAAAGTTAAAAAGTTATTGTTTTGTCTCTCATTTGCTTGTGATTAAGATGGGTTTATTCTTTCTGCGATCGAGCATCCTACACAAATTTTATAGTATCGATTACTTCTTCCTTACCCCTTGTTAATATCATTATTATTTTCTACTACTTAACGGACTAATACAAATCCTAAAATGACTGTCATCCCAACAGGTCATAACTAGTAAATGATAAACTACCCTGTAAACAGTCATCTCGACCAAAAATAAAACCATTTCATGACTGTCGTTATGACAGGTCATCCATTAGCAAATCCTCTTGCCCAAAATAAATAAAGTTGAAAATCTTTTCAAAAATTCTAGAGTGGGAGAGGGAAGAGACTAAAAATCAGACTAAAGTTGGGTTCACAAAAGAAATAGAGTTATCTCTAACTCTATTCATTACAATACTTAAATACTCAAATCAATTAGACTCAAATACATCAATATTACTAAACTGATTTACTAATCACAATTATTACCTCATAATCCCAAAGTCTATTTTCTTACTAATACTAACATTATATTAACATGTCATTACAAAATTACCCCTGTGACTGTAATTAACGACCTTAGCATTACCCGCAAAAAATGGTAGCCAGATAGGTTTACCAGTTATATGTGATTTTGTGATTTGGATTTGATTAATGACAATATTGATTACAAATCAAAAAAAAGTCTGTGCTCTTGTAAAATTTATTATCGTTACCATATAATAACAAATAAAATTTTCTTCTACTATCTTTACTGCTATTGCAAAAGTGAATTAATGTAAACGTTCCAAAATTTTTACAATATTTGCTTGTCTTATTTTATTTTATATTTATTTGAAATTTTTTTTTTTGATTATAGGTGAATTTAAATCAAGAAAAAAATTTTTATAAATCAGGGGCTTTTTAATTATGTCAGACAAACAAACCAACTTCTGCAAGGGATATCATACCACTCGAAATAGTGTGAGTTTTTTGAATAAAAAGAGAAACAAAATAAAAAAGTGTTTACAATGCTGAAACCAGATTAAATTATCATGTTCAAAGAATAATAAAGAATAACCTAATATAACAATTAACTATTTAGACATTATCAAATTTGTGTATAATGTTTTAATTTTATTAGATAATACTGATGAGTTTTATAAATATGAGAATGAAGGATTAGATTTAATGTTTCACATTGAATTATTGCCTTTGCATAACATTATTTTAGAGGATAAAGAATCACAAAAAGAAAATATTGAATTTGAAATTGGTCATTACATTGTTTCTCTTGTTTCTGATAGAAATGGTTATTCATAAGTTTATTAAGATAAAAGCTCCAAAAAAACTTACTGTTGTTACGGGTTAATCAATGACCCCATCACTGAACAACCTAACTCAAATGGTATGCACCCTATAAATCGGGCTGTAGACACAACAACCAAGGCAAGTATTGTTTTTTTTTATTCTGTTTTTATGCAGCCTTTTTGTTTTTATTATTTTATTTATTTCTTGTACAAATTTTTAACCTAATTCTCTTTTCTTATTACATATTTCACTACTGTTTATATACCTTATTCGCTTGCAATTAATTACACCATAATTGATCATATAATCGATTGACTCTTAAATTAACTACCCTATTGATTTTTGTATACTACCATTGACTTTTAAATTAATTACGAACATCTCTATGCATAATCATTACCTTATTCTGATAGACTATTTAGTACTACCGATCCTTATGCGACTGATCTTATATATTACATAATTTCCTGATTTCGATCCTAATCATAATCGACACATGGTCACATGGACACACACCCAACAAACGTTCGATACCCTTTAAGCTAAGTATACCTTCAAGAGAGATTTTTTTTTTTTTTTTTTAATTAATCTAATTGCCTATTGTTCTAGAGTTCCAGATTGACTTCC